TACTATTGGTTTACTTCAAATAACGTTACCAGCTTCTCTGGCAAGTCTGTGTGGGACTTGGATTCAGCCAAAAACCTGGGCAAGACCCAGCCCAGACCCAGACCACAAGTAACATAACCTGTCGTGCAGTAAATGCATTCAGTGTTGTGCAACCTTCACCTCTGGTTCCTGAACCTTTCATCTTTCCAAACTCTGCCCCTATTAAGCAATAATTCACCGCACCTGCCTCCTCCAACCCCAGGGCCTCCACTCCACTTTCTATGAATTTGGAGCCAAGAGACTGGAACTGAAGCCATGCATAGCTGGTCAGTCCCTCTGCCCTGCTCATTTAAATCAGCGGTCGGTTTTCATTGCTCGTCTGTGTTACAGCATGCACTGGCACTTCTTTCCAAGGCTGCGTGATATTCCTCCATCTACATAAACCACATTCTAATTAATCTTCTCATCCATTGATGGACATTTGGGCGGTTTTCCTTTCTTACTTGCTGCTGTGCAGTCAAGCTTCAGTGTTGCAAAAGGCATTCTTTATAATCAAGCCCCCGTTTTCCATTCCTGCTTGTAACACACCAGAGTGTGCCCATCTTGTAGCCCAGCTCTCTAGAATGTTGTACCAACTCACTTGCCTGGAAACCGTCTAACCACTTTCTAGTTTTTAGGGAAAGCTGTTGGCTTCCTTTGCTAAATTCTCCCTGAGTGTCTCCCCCCATCCCAGACAGTCTCTAGGACCCTTCCTCTCTGTTTCCTGACCCTTGTCACAGTCCCCCGTGGAGCAGTTGCTGGTTTTTTGTTTGTCTGGATGGTTGCATTTTTGTTGTTATTATTGGGTATTTTTTGCTTAAATTCCCTGGGAGCTTGTGACAAAAGTGAAGAGTTTGCCACCACAGCTGTGGTGAAATTGTCAACGTGTTTTCTGAATCAACATGGAAGTAAAATGCCAATGCCCTTTGCCCCGGAGGCTGAGAGAAACTAAAGTCAATGAGCTACTGCAAGTGAGACCCCACTCTACAAAGCAGGGGAAAGTTATTCTCGACTGCCTGAAGCAGAGGCGTGCAGCTCACCTTTAAACTTTGTCGGGAACTGCCGGGTCTGGGTGAAAGGAGAGAGCGTTTAGTGTATTTTACGGGAGTCGGGGGGTGGGGAGGGGGAGCGGGAGCCGGGGAGGCCTTGGGGCAGCCAGCTCCAGCCTCTAATGATCTTTGTCCCTGAGACAAGGAGAACTGCGAATCACAAGGTGATACGGGTCACACAGGACAAGGTCCACACCACGAGGAGGAGCCCACCAGTCCACAGCCACCCACCGACCTTTTGTAAAGGCGGCCTCTAAACCAGCCTTGGGGCAAGAATCTCCAAACTGAGCCAGTCTATCAGCTTGTCCACTGGGCTGGGCTGGGCTGGTCGGAGGCTAATTAGCTTTTCAGAGCCGAGAGCCCGGGGTTACAGCTCCCGTGAGTCTGTGCCCTTTGGGGAAGTGAGGCGCTGAGGATCCTAAAAGGCAGCCTTCCAGTGACGCCCAGAGCTGGTGGGAGGCCAGACCCAAAGAGGCAGAGGTGCCCTTCCGGAAGTCTGGAAGTCCACACGGGTCACTCCTCAGCCTGATTTATAATCGCTGTTTACAAAATCCCAGTGGCTAAAGACAGCACAAATCTCAGGTTCAGCCCGGCGCGGAGCCTTTCTTTATCTAACAAGAGCGTGGGGGAAAATAACACTTGCAGATTTTCGTTTTAACTGCAAGAAAGTGCTCAACGGCTGCAGTAGCGATGAGCTCTGGGATCGATTTCCTTGTTTTCTCTAGCGTTTGAGACTATCGCTAAAAGTAAAGCGGCCAGGGGTCAATCCCTTCCGGCTCCGCGGGAGGAGGCAGTTTGAAGTTTCTGCTTGTGGATTGGCTGGCGTGGGGCATGTCTCGTCCGGAACACAAAATTTTCTCCTGGAAGTGAGAAACCTGGAGATCTCAGAGTTCCAGGTCCCGAGCTGGCTGGTGAGGGTCACGCTTTCCGTCCCCCAGCTCCTGGTGTCTTGTCTGGGAAGGAAGGAAGGACCCCCCTGACCTCCCCCTCCCCGCACCCACACAGCCTAGGTCAGCGGGGCGCAGCGC